TTACGTTAACTAATAGTCTAGTAGTATATATTTTTACTATCTCTTTTTGTATATATATATATATATATATATATATATATATTATTATTATATATATATATACATATATATATATATATATGAAAGGTTATCGTTGGCAACTGATTCCTTTCAGTCGCAATAAGTAACATTTTAATTTGACATCTGAGCAAGAAGGTGGTCTACTTTTTATTATGGATTTGTATTATTATTGTTGCCAAGAGCATGACCTCTTCATTACTGTATATCGATACACGTGTATATATATATATATATATATATATATTATATATTACGTTATATGTGACTGCTTGTACTCAGCCTCACATGGCCTCCTACCTGTGATATATGTGTATCAGCTGTTATATGATGTATAACATTTGCTTATTTCTCCTCGCAGTTATAGATCAGTGAGATGATTAATCCGTGGAGATTATTATAGCAATGTTATAGGTTTCTACTAACCAACACCCAACTTATTTTTATCAATATTATTATTATTAACGATTTGTATTGTAGACGTCATTGTATGTGATGCGTGACATGAAAGTTTTAAGATAGCGTTGTTGGGCTCTGAATGAAAGCTATATACGTATATTGCCCAATGCCTATATGTATGGTTATATTGAATTTCACAATGGTGCTGTTTCTGTGCGGCTAGTATGCCAGATTTCTGGTGATACTTACCATATAATGTATGTGCGTAGATAGTCAATAGTCGATTGTGTGACCTTTCATCGACTGTGTGCGATAGACAGACTGCTGCGAACAACCTCTTATGGCGGCTACAGGCGCAACACTCGTCCTGCATGAAAGTAGAATCTACAGGCACATAGAAAATATTCTATATCACATAGACAGCGTCCACACACAAAAAACCTGTCGGCTTTTGCTAATATTTGTGTATACCTCGTGTTATAATTACGCTGGCATTCGAACGTTATAACATGGTTCGTAACAACTCTTCAACCATAGTGTTCACAGAGTCTCTGGGGAGTTTCGAATGCCAGTTGAACAGTGCCAAAGATAACTTGCAAATGAATTTGCTGTAAATTACGCCTGTAAAACTGTTCACTTGTGGTAATTTATGGGTTTATTAACTGTGAGTTGGCATGTGCAAATATCTCGTTTTCCCATCATTCACTGGTTACCTGTGCTTGAACGCGAATGTTTGTTAGCTGTTAATTTCGCCTTCGTCATCTGTCGCCGGCAGTGTTTTACAAAATATATGTATAAGTGCTGCTATTAGCGTGTGATGTGATTACAGTAATTAAGAGAATATAAAGGAGCATCTACTTCGAATCGTAAGTGCGTTCGAACGTTTCTTGATTATTGCGATTTTCTATCTTTTCGTTTCTTCTGCAGCGGCATTCATTATGGTTTTATTTTATGCGGAGGTATAGGGGGTCCGTTGTTTTTGCTTTATATGAGATGCATGTGAACATATACCGTAACACTGTTGGAATTGGCAGTATTTATTATACTAACTACACGTTCACTGCCAATTAAGAGGCAGCCCAATAGTACTGAAATCCGAACACAGTAGCTCAGTAGTAGCTAAATTACTAAAACGCAAAAATTACGTAGGATTTTTTCTTTATTCCACAGATTTATACACTCCTACATAAAATTACTAAAAACCTTTTTATTGATACAAATACGTTACACTGTCAGCGCGCAGATTTTCTCATTCGCGTCGCCGTATGTTAATTAATAATATTAATTAAACAAAAATTACATATCTATATCTATATAATATTATATATATACGGCATATTGATACATTATAGATACGAAGCAATTGCTATCCCGTATAAACCACGAGATAAAACTGCCGTTAGACATTATTGTCACCATACCTAATATACAATTATGCTACTTCCCCAGTTTGCAGTCGCACAATAAAGAGGTATATAAAATACATCGGAAGTTCATAACAACGCGATCCCGCCTTCGTTCGCTGTGTCTAGGTTGCGACGTCAACGATTTGTCCACCGTAAAATACCGAAATATGCACCTTGATAGCAAGGAAATGTGTGTAAACCGGTGGTTCACCCTGATACGAGGTCAGTCAGATATATTATTTAGAGGATCTTCGTTCGTAGACGTGCTCTTTTGACTATTTGGTTGTTTACTCATTTGCTCGTTCGATTTACACGTACTCCTGCGTGGCGCCATTGATTATCCGAGCGATATGCATGTGTATATGGCATGTAAGAGCAGACAGAGTGAGCAAGTTGGACGCGGTGCGTGATGTAGCTGTCTGTTGATGTGGATATGTGAGGTGTGGACAGAGCGGAACACACGCGGTCAGCCTACCGTCATCGCAAATCACGTCATCAGCACCGGCTTCTCTGTAACACATGATTAAAAACACTGGCTAAAAATTAAGCACATGGCAGTACGCCTACTCCAGTTAAAATTGCAGACGGGCAGAGAGAGAGAGGAGTAACTGAGAAAGAGAGAGAGAACGGGAGAGAAAGAAAGCGAGAGAGAGAGCGCGCGAGAGAGAGAGAGTGAGCGAGAAAGAGAGAGAGAGAGAGAGAGAGAGAGAGAGAGAGAGAAAGAGAGAGAGAGAGAGAGTAGAC